CACCGTAGACCAGTGTCCCCCAGTGTGGTGGTCCGCGGGCCGGCACGGGTCTCCGAGAATTTCTTTGCCGGTCCGCACAACAATGAGGAGACAGGAAACTGGATAAAAGTTAAATTTAAATTAAATGAAACCACTGTAACAAAAATTGCTTGTCAAGTAAGCATTCATCAATTGGTCGTGTCGTTAGAGACCTGTAGCCGTAGCATAGGCTCACCGCGGATTAAGCAATATTTTAGCACATGTTTAGGGTCAAATTAAAAGATGTCGGTTAATAAATACATCCGGTAACTGCCCCTGTTGACTGTTGAGGTGCGAAACACGAATGTAAAGAGGGAAAAGTATCAGGGTGAAAAAGTCACAGATAACTTTTTGTTTGCCGTAATTTTTTTGTATTTGTAAGTCCACATAATTTTTTTATGATAGACTTATATATATTATATCAGTAAATGGAACCGAAACTCACTGGAAGAAAAGTGATAGGAAGAAAATAACAAAATATTTAATCCCAAGTGAGAATCAAACTACGATCCTATTGAGCCGTCTCTTATTTACATTTACTGATATTTATTTTTTTATTTTTTTGCTGGCATCCGTCCGTCACAATGTGACGATGGAATGGGCTTCGGAGTACGATATTCACAAGGCCTGGGATTATTCTTCAAGGATTATAAGCTGGTTCCCAACAGCAAACCGCCTCTCTCCACGCCGCTGGATAACCCAAGGGAACATCAATGGATGATACAGCTTGGCACCAGTGACGTCGCAAGAGTTATCGGAATGTTTCATTGTATCAAATGTAATCCGCCTTCCTGGACTCCATCTCCGGGTTTTGATTTCAGAGTTTCCTTCTCTTTCCTAGTCTATAACTAATAATCAACATTTATATGGACCTACAAATAAAATTCCTGTTGGTAAAAAAAAAGTTTATCCGTGTCATCTGTCTATGACTTTTCTTCCCGCTTTGACCTTTGCTCCTAGCAAAACGTGTGACATTCTTCCGCTCACCAGGAAACGTATCCGTCTGTCCGCCACACTTAAAAAGTTAGATAAACCTTTGACATATTCTTTATTAGACAATGCGCATATCTGGACATGGTGCTCTTCTTTGTTGGCAACCGTTGGGTCCTAGGCACATCCGGCTTCGATCTACCTACACTTGAATTGGCCATGGCTGGACGATACACAGTGATAGTACTTTTGTTGTTTTTACATTTTGTAAGTTAACTATAGACTACATTTATATTTATGACAAACGTTGTAAGAACGCAAAGGTAGATATTGTTGGGAGAGTTTAAACGGTTTATGGGCGCCGGTCTCGTGTATTAGTTACCGTAACAAGGGTGTCCAACTGGCGGCCCGCGGGCATCATCGGCCCGCGACGCCATGATTCAATGATTAGAAAGGATTTAAACCGAATGAAGTGTCACACGGGATGTCCTTAAGCGGCAGTTGATTTTTTAAAATAAAGTTAATGGAAAGTATGCTAATTAGCTGTCCCGTGCATCACATATTTCAATACTTTTAATATAAATAAAGTTTTTCGAGTGATTTTAAGAGTGAAAGGATGCGAAAGAAAGAACTAAATTTTTTTTTTTTTATCAAAAGAAACAAGCCGATTTTCTGTTTAAGAGTATCAACTAAAATGCATTGTTATGTAAATGGGGATCTCTCGACTGTTAAACTCAAGTGGACAAGATGGTCCGGCCTGGTTTAGCACACAGGGGACATATATAACATAAGTGACCTGTTGACCTACTTGGGATTGGCACCAATGGTTTGAGCTCTGGCCACTCGGTCAGTGCGTGGGGGAGATCACGAGGCTGGTTCCCCTGACCATAGTGTAATGCGGTTTAGTTATCAGCCTACTAAAGTTTTCCTATCTGTCTCTATTTGGTCACGCGCAGCCTCGAATGTAATGTAAACGGCGTGCATGCAGGTTGAGATAACTTTCCTTAGAACAAGATAAATCGAAATATAAAGGCCAGGACATGGCATGCAACCATTTATAATTAAATTAGAATTTGAAGAAGAAAAAATGTGCCCCCGACCTCTTCCTTTTCATAAAAGGATTTGGGACAGTGACTTAGTCTAAGTAAGTTTCACTTAATTGGTAATTTGTAATTACATTCGATGATTTACAAAAGAAAATAGTTTAAGCGAGTTGTTATATTTTTTGCTTAAATTAAGGCCTAGGTTTCTGTGTTAATTAAGGTGAACATTTGGACACTATTTTCTACATCCGGCTCCACTGTTGTTAACTACACTCAACTTAATTTTTTTTTTTGGTTTAGATTCTAAATTAAGTATAGTTATAAAAGAATGTCCGCAATTTGTGAAGCGCAAAGATTGAGACTGAAATGGGCACTACATTTTTTATTATTATTTTTTTTTTCAATTGTAGCGTTTCCCCGAATCATAACGATAAACTTGTGAACGTCATATGTGAAGGTCATATGTGAACGTCGCATGTGAATGTCATTCACCACACACCATCGCCCGTATAAAGTTCATAGAAACTGTCAACATCTGATAGGCTTGTATATGAGGAAGTATAGAATTTCAACATCAATAGAAAGCTGCTTCAAATTTGACGGATGAGTGGTGATGGCAATGAGCCTATTAAACAAGGCTCTTCCAACTCAGTGGCGTGACCAAAATGCCGCAAGAGGAAAACTCTTACTAGTGTGACACCCCTCTTCCCCTAAATCACACTCACACTTTTCCTCCCTAACCCCATACACACACCATTTGTGGAACATTGATGTCGTCACCGGTTGTATACAGAACCCCCCAGAGTGCACCCCCCCCCATAACGTCCGTCACTGGTTACACTGGACACAGTCTTCTCCTCTCCGGTAGCTACATTTTACACCCCCCTACCCCCTCATCTCCCTCTCATGCACACCGGAAACTATATGATTTATCATCTGGGGATTTTTTCTCATGCGTGCCCTATCTGCAGACTGACAACTAAAGGTTTGGGGGGATCCCAAACTGTCCCCACTTTCTGTGCCCTGTCCCGTTTGTTTTGTATAAGTGCTCCACCTGATCTGACTCCCGCCAAGTCTGATATCCTCTCCACTACAGCCCCCCCCCCCCCCCCCCCCCCCCCCCCCCCCCCCCGCAGAGGGACACTTAACGGCTTGCACGAATTGGACGGCTTTAATACCCTCTCCCCACACACACACCCTTTTAATCAAAGCATCAGCAGATTGGGACCACGTTCTGTATGGTCGTAATTGTGGTTACACAATGAAGTGTTACGGTCTTTACCACCCACTGTCCACGTGAACTAAGACCGGGTTCATGCTAGTAAACGGTGGACACTCTTGTCCCCTTGTGATATGCGCCTTTTCATTTTACGCCTTGGATATGTTGCTGTGAATCAGTGGGAAAACTTTTCTTTTTTTTTTAATTTAATTTTTTTTTTTTCTGTAGTTGTTGACGGCAAACGGGGGAAATAAAGTCTATTTTTATCCGCATTTTCCGAATCTTAAATTAAACTGTTCGTATAAGTTATATCCTGTTAAAGTTACTGTTGAGTAGGATCTGTGCCGTTAGTGGTAGTAGGAACTGTGCCGTTAGTGGTGATAGTGTTGTTTGAGTTATCAGAGCTGTGATAAGTGGACATCGTTTAAATCAGACACTAGTTTCTAGTTCAGATGTAGGCGTTAACTTAACATCTTCGATCTTGAATGTTGATCCGACTGAACATCAATTTTTTTTCAATTGATTTCTTTTGTGTGTAAATCTTGTTGTTTGTTTTTGTATTTCTTAGAACTGGTGGAAACAGAAACGTATTGAGATACCAACCTTCTTTAATCCTTATATATACTCACTAACCTTTTTAACTTAAGTCAGCTAGTGTTTCTCAACCAAACCAACCGAGGAATCAACAATTATTCACAATTATTATTTTAATATTTGTTTTAATTCACATTCTATATACGTGTTATGAAAGGGTAAAGAGGGGCATTTAAAAAAAACAACAACAAAAAAAAAAAAAACAACAAAACAGGATAGTTTTCTTTTAAAAAAAAAATAAATTAAAAGATATTTTATTTCTGAACAGGAAAAAAAAAAAGGTGGTTACTATGTCTTTAACTGTGATGCTTAGTTATCATGGTCTATTTTGCATTCTCTTGATAGTGTCTGACCGTTTTATAAGTCTACATGACATTGTCTTGATATCCTGTGACTGTTTCATAATGAGTCCTTGTTAATTGTTCAGTTCACTCTTAATTGTGTTGTTTTATTTTATTTTTTTATATCAAACGTTACAAGTTAGTAATATAGCAATTCAATTGGGTTGGGGGGGGGGGGCGTAACGTGACATGCCTTTACCTAAACTGCGGGCGCCCTTGAAAATGCCACAGAGAGTAAGTACCCTCTAGATCAGGCCTGCACAACTCAACATGTAAGGCGGGCCGTATTACTTTATTTTAAGAACATGTGCGGGCCAAAAGAAAATAGGACGAGGGGAAAGCTATTAAGAAAATAATAAGAATAATGAATATTTTGTTACTTCGCGGGCCGCAAAGTGGGTGCTGACGGGCCGCATGCGGGCCGTATGTTGTACAGGCCTGCTCTAGTCAGATGGATACAGCCATGACCCACAGTTCTAGAAATTCGTGATACAGCCGCCGTGTGTTGTACTTGTACGTAAAATAGACCAACTTTGTTATGGTTTCTGTTGCGCTGTAGGAAGGTATACGAGAGACATGGGAAATTCAGCTACACCCGCCGACCACTTTATTCCTTCCCCATTAGGCTTCCGGCTCCCTGTCGTTTCTAAGAGAGCCTTGTCAATGACGGGTTGTTTTTTTTTTGTTTTTTTTTATGAATCGTAGGTTATCAGGGTATCATTGAGATGACCGTCACATCTGTGTTATCATTATTCATTATGTCATAGGTAGCTACTGACTATCTTTTTTTTTTGTTTTCTCCCCTGACGATGTTTTGTCTCTGATGTTATATTGAAAAAGCGGTGGGTTGTCGTTTATCACCGTCGTCCTGGCTGCAGCGTAGAAATCATTCTATTGTGATGTCGAAATACATGTACCCGTCGTTACCTGGTGAATGTTGACTTAATAATGGTCAGTCACCACTGTCCAAAACTCTTTTAGAGATTCTGTGTCAGTTGATGTTTGCAGTTGGCTGCGCCACGTGATCAGTTATCGCTTAAAAGTCGAGCTTGCAGTTTTCTAATTATTGTGTTTCCAGCTCCACTGGATTGGCTGATTTGTATAAGCATTCTATTAAATACGAACATTCCGAACACTTGGTCGGTGCTGTTATTTGAGAAAATCCCCCACGTGATCATGATGGAAAGTGACAGTGAGATAGACAGCAGTTTTGATGAGCCCGCTGAGGTAATCTAGCATTCAACACTCTGTCATTGTGATCTATTAACATTGAACTCTTCCACAGCACAGGACTAGTCATGATTTATTAACATTAAACTCTTTCCACAGCACAGGACTACTAGGGCTGGTGACCTAGCCTATACTGACATCCCATTGAAATGAATCATTAATTATTGTCACTTTGTTTATGTTATGTTTTTAACCTAAGTTTTTCGTTATGCTCCACTACCCCAAACACTGAATTCCATCTTCTAGAGATGAATAGTGTAATATAAACTTGCTCCTGTGTAGGCCCTCTACTGAGTGAACTTTATTAAATATTTAAAGCCACTGTGAAAGCCTTAATACAGCTGTTTTTGAGTCATTGTAAAATTTGAGAAGCATTTTTTTTGTTTTTTTTACTTCCACCCATTATTTAATTTTCTTGAACCCATGGAGATGCTTATATCCTGTTTGTGTGGTTTTTTTAATGAAATGTAATCTTTTGCATGTGTTTCAGGATTTGCTACCAAGGATTATTGTCAAGGATCCTGTTACACACAGCACATGGGAACATGGGAAATTCACTTCCTATCAAATCTGTATTAAGGTATATATAATATGCAGAGAAAAATTGTTAAGTCTCATGCTTTTGTGGTCAAATTTCAAAATGTGCTGGATTTATATTTAAAATTAAGATTTCATTTATATAAAGAATTTTTTTTTCTGTATTTAATTTTTTTGGATAAATCACTGATCATACTCCACCATAAATTTTATTACAAAATAAATGACTGTGTTTGAAATGTAGCTTAAGGTTCACATTTTTTATTTCAGACTGATCACCCAGCATTTCACTTACGTTTATCGGCAGTTAGACGTCGCTACTCAGAGCTTATCTGGCTGAACAAAGTGTTGAAAGCTAATCACCAATATGTGTACGTTCATGTCTCTTTAAGAATCATTTGGTCCACATTGCTCTGCCCTTATTTAAATAGCTTCCTCATTGGAGTAGACTGTTCAGCTACTCTTGACTCAAGAGTTGATAAATACAAAATCCAACCTATTGTAGTCTGAACTACCAGATTATTCATCACAATTATAATATACTAAATACCTCTTCACATAACGGGTTTGATAGTATTAAATTTTTGCAGGTGAACAACATAAGGCTCCTAATGCATTAATACTAGCATTCCCTTATTTTTTGCATGTATGGAAATATTATTTGTTGATATGGCTTAAATTTATAGTTAAATAAAATATAAATTTAAATAATTTACTCTTACAGAAGTTTTCCTGCACTACCCCCCAAGAAAGTTTTCTCTGAAAGATTTGACTCTGAGTTTATCAGCACTAGAATGAAGCTGATTGAGAATTTTCTAAATGAGTGAGTGAAAATTTGTTTTATTTTAAAAGAAATTCTTGTAGGTATTTTTAGCATTATCTTTTCATTCATGATAGCTCTCTCTATTTGTGTCTTAAACATCACCTCAGCGGTCTGAGAAACTTAATGGAGGCATATAAGTCAATCCACTTGGTACCTGTAGTCTTATTAGGTTATCGCTTTTTAAATCTAATAAGATGTACATTTATTTTAAATGTATGCATGCGCCATGTGCATCTGAGGTGATCTAGATCCACTTCATTTAATCAAACCTCCCTGTCAGGCTGCTGGTGACAGACACTGTGTTGTCAGATGCTGCCTTCCACCTGTTCCTGCAGACTGACCTGACCACTGAGGAGATGGATGAGTACTTTGCTGGACGTCTCTCAGAGTCTTTCATTGAGTCTGCCTGGAAGAATGTTGGTCATGTGCATACGAGCAGCTACGTTGTCAAGTAAGAAAAGTATTTCCAACCCTGCAATGTTCAAACTATTAGCTATTGACTTAAATATCCCTATTTTTTTTTCTTTCTTTGTATACACCTGGTTTTAGATTTCATGGCAAATTAAAGAGGTTTTGAATAGTTTTGAAAACTTTTAATATCACACATTTTAACAAATACATTTTGAATATTTTTTTAATACAAAATTTTTTGTACCGTTAATGTATTATTATGAACACATATGTTAAAATTCAAGTCGCTGATAGCAACTAATTAAACAGTATAAAATGTTAAATAAATAATCTTTAATATTCTAAATAATGGTTTCTTTTAAAATGACATTTTGATGTCAACCTTTTTAATTCATCAATACTTCTTTTTTATTTTTTTAACATTTTTTTAAAGAATTAGGGAAATTTGTTTTAAACATTTTATTCTTAAAAGAAAATTATTATTTTATGATGTTGGATTTATTTATACATTGACTTTTTTTTTTCACTGATCAGGGTGCATACATACTTTTACTCATTAAAAATCCATTAAATATTTGAAATCAATGGCCGTCATTCTATGTGCACATCAAAGCTTTAAATAATTTTAAAATAAATATTAACTTGCGGCAGAATGAAGATTGCCATAATAACCTCATTGCACAAAACCCAGTTCCTTGCCATCATCTAGTTCGAATTGACAGATAGATACTTGAACAAATTATGTTCAACAATTATATTATTTTTATGCAAGAGCTTTATGTTTCTCTTTTCTGTTCCAGTATGAGCAACATCCCACATGAGCCTCAAGAGATTTTCATGAATGATGAAGATCTGAGGAACAGTGCCCGGCGTATGTCCTTGTCTGATGATTCATTCACACAATCCACAGAGGACACAACGGCCCAATCCACCGACGACAATTCTAATGGGAAATCTGGGTCTTCAAGGACTTTGCCTGGCAAGGTGGACAACTCAAGGACTTTGCCTGGCAAGGTGGACAACTCATCGGGATCAATCCAGACAATATGTGCAGAAATTGTGACCTATAATGTGTCCAGTAGGCTTCAAACTGGAATTTCTACTAGTATACAAGAGGATGATGATTAAGAGCAGGAGTGTTTAGCACCAAACCGCAGCCTGGATATTAAAAGCTTAGAGCATTCCTCACATGGAACCACGAAACGCAAAGCAACCAGCACACGAAACTTAAAAGTCCATTGAGATGTTGTTGTTTTCTTTTGGATAAGTGCAATTTTTAAGTGAAGACAATTTATTAAATAAAAGTGCTTTATCTTTACAGAAATGTAATTATAATTTTAAATATTTCGTTTCATGCTGAAACCACTGTATGCGCATCTTTAAATGTTTGGTTACACTGGTTCCATTTTCTTAAATGTGAATTTTTTTCTTTTCAAGGGAGGCAATCATTTTTTGCATGGGAAGTAATTTAATTCATGGAGACACTCTAGGAAAAAATGTTTTCAGTACTTATGGTTTAACATGGTTATATAAATATTCCTTTAAAAACACGCCTAAACCCTTCACATGTGTACCTGCCACACCACATGAAAAGAAAAATTATTTTTTTTTAAAGTTATGTTGCACTATAAACATTTGTTTGACGGTGTCAACAAATCAGATGATTTTGTTTCAATAAATTTAAATCGCTTCCACTAGTTTTTCATGCCCTTTGAGGTATTTTGCCGCTGCAAACCTAACATCTTGCGGCACACCGGTTGCGGGGCTCTGTGCTAGTGTACAATATAACTGGTATTTGAACAAATTTAATTAAAATATGACAATTGCATTTTTTCAAGTATATGAACATCATTTATAATTAATGCTGCTGGCAAAATAGTGATCACGTTATACATGCTACAAGATTCATATTCATACAAATGAATCTTTTGTGACATTGTTCTGAACTGAGGCATCTCATTCTCTTTTCTTGTCAAGCTCTTCTTAAATAAATTTGTTATAAGATCAATGTCCACATACACTCTGGATACAGTACTTTATTTAAGGGACACCATTGACTTTTTTTTTTTTTTTTACTATTTAATATCCTTATGAATGTTTTAAAATTGTTATCACCCTTCTGTTAGTGATCATGTCCAGTGCCTTGACCAAAAGTGCTCCTTAAGTGGATTAACAGCAGATACTGCTCTAACCCACATGCAAATAAGGAAATGGTTCTATAACACATTTATTTCTACATACAAAAAGCAGCTATTTTTCTTAATAAAAGCTCTAGTCTACTAAAGTGCAGCTGAAACCTGTTCATGCATTTAATGATAGTACATGACGATATGTAAACAAATTACACTGTACATGTCTTTGACAATAGTATAGGATGATATGTAGCATAACATATGTAAACAATGTACATGCAATTAATGATAGCGTATCATCATATGTGAATGAGGTACACACAGTTAAAAAGAACTTGGGGAAATCATTCACTAATCTTCTTGGCTGCTGATAGTTCTATGACTCATTAAGTGGTAATGGTTATAAACTATAATAATATATTGAACATTCCAGATGAATTGCTAAAGTTCTATAGAAAATAATGACGGACACAAATACTATTAATTGTATATTTTTGTAAATTATATTTTCTACTTATCCATTGTTCAAGTAGTGTCTGTAGGCTGTGATTTCATGACAGTAATGTGTTCATATTGAACCTATGCCTGAAAACACAAACTCTTTAACTATAAAAAGTGCTCTTGTTATGTTTTTATCACGCCAATGAAATATTCCAAAAATATACTGCAACATGTGTTCATATTAATATGAGTTATTAAAAATTATTATAAATTTTACAAACGATTTGTAAAGTCTTTATTGATGTGTTAATTGGGTTAAATCCAGACTGTATTTATATCTAACACAGCATTCCTCACATCCTTATCCTAATAATACAAAGGCTAGCATACTTCACAACCCAAGTCTAGCTACCTTACCACACAAATGTAGCTACCTTAACACCCAAGTCTAGCATACTTCACAACACAAGTCTAGCTACCTTAACGTAAACCTAGCTAAGTGGTAGTTGCCCCCATTGCCTTGACTTGCTTACTCTGTAAAAAAATTAAGTTTCTTATTGTTTGCCAAATTGAAAGTAAAAGCTTAAATTTTCTTTCGTTATATTTTTCCCAACAGCAAAAAGTTTATCATGCTAACTTAAAACTTCTACACATTTTTCTTTTGGCAATTATTGTGGTGTTTTAATACTAAACATTAGATTTTCTATAAAAAAAAGTCTTTTTCCAAAACCGTTACTTTCTTTTTTTTTACACATGAGTAACTGTATAGTATGTAGACACACATCTGCTGTATCGTATGTAAACACACATATCATATTGGGATAATTCAAGATGTTGTCACCCTGGGAGGCTGCCCCGACTGATATAGTCGTTATATTAAAGGGGATTTCAATGTGTCTTTTAATGCCTCTCTTTTTATTGGTTTCCAAACTACATGGTTTTCCCGCCCATATAGGGAGCCATAGCAATGGTCATGTGGAAAAAAGGGGGGTCTAATGGGGTGGGGCATCCCAGGCTTCGGGGGGTACTGAAATCGTTAATTATCCTAAATTATCGTGATAAGTCTATATCCCAAGCGTAGGAAGCAGGTGGGGCAATCCGATCAGCAGGCTGGCTCCTGTTTTAATATCAATCTGTCAATAGTGGAGGGGCATTTTCGGTCAAAAGCAACAAAAATAAAGGTGGTTAATAAGACACGGGGCGTCATTTTATGATGAGAAACTACATTCAGGTATGCGCCAAAATGCAAATCTGATATGCAGCGGTGCAGGAGGGGTTGTGGGGGGAGCACCACTGTTTTCTTTATATTGAGGGACTGCATTTTCGGGCCAACTGCCGAGATGTTTTCGTTGAAGGGAGGAGGCAGAAAGCTTGACGCCCCTTGAGCTACAGCAACCCAAGCTGCGCCACTTAAGATATAATCTTTGGAAGAGTGCCTAAAATTTCCACTGCCCAGGGGGCTCTGGAGGTCTTAATCCGGCACTGGGTCCCCTCCTCTCCCTTTCCCCCTTTTTCGCTTGGCCCTGTATAGGGCTGTTATTGGGTTACATTGATTAAAATAAAATCTATATCAAGATTAATTACGGGTAAAATGTTTTCATTGGAATAAATATTGGTAAACATATGAGAGTGGGTCACGAGGCCAACAAACTAACTACTATAAAGATGTACCAAAGGATTGTTAGTTTCGGGTCCAGCCTTGACCTTAACAACTGGTTACAGCTGTTCAATGTGAGAAAAATTAATGTCTTAAAGGGGGACCTGGGTACAAGCAACAATGGAACCCATAGCTTTTACAGGCATAAATTACAAAACCATCTGCTAAAGGCACGCGTGATATACAGAGCCCGATAAGCCTAGGTCTAGGTCCGGGGCTCTTCAGCCTCGAGATTATGGATTCGCTGCTTCCCTTGTCCTTTGGGTAACAATGGCATTGTGGCGCCTTATTCTAATCCTTCTTCCGGCAGCAACAAAGGAGATTTCTAAGGTTTTTTTGTTTCTTTTTACTGTGCTCTGTTTCTTGTCGCACCTCTATTTGTCCTGTTCGCTGAAGAAGGCTCTAAGCCGAAACATTCAAATATTATTGTCCTGTCTTTTGAGTCAAGCTTCAACATAACTTGTTTCACTATTTCATTCACGTAGCTTGAATGCAGTCCTACTCTTTCAATTATTATTATTTTTTTTTTAAAGCCGGATTTTGTGAAATTCCTTTGTCGGCACTCTGTTATAATTTTAGAAGAGTGGCGTAGGCCTTATACCCATACACGATCGTTCCTTTTTAGATATCTGTTCTTTATTAGAGTTATAACACTTTTGGTATTCTCAATAGTCTCAGTCATGGTGATGATTGATTCCTTTTATAGCGCTTGTGTCCATGCTACTTTAGCATGCTCACAGCGCTCTGGTGTCCTAAAATATATTTAAAGAAAAAGAGTCTTTAAATGGTTCTTAGATTACTTTTTATCATTTTCAATGTCCCTCAAAGATTGCGGCTATTACTGTTCCACAATTTAGGCGCAATAGTTTCTATTGACAATCATGACAGCCTTCTTATAATATCCAGGACTAACTGCAGGCTATTGTCCGATGAAAGTGAAATAAATAGTTATTCGAGACCACTTATTAGCTGACAACTAAAAGAAATAATAATTTAAAAACAGAAATCTTGCATTAATCCAGCCCATGAAAATCCTACAAAAAACATACATTGAAAGGACAGAACCCCCGAGCAGGTGGGAAATTCACACATTTAGGCAGCACCCTCTCACAGTAACAAGGAATCAGCAACATTTGCCGCCCTTGCATCCGCTAGGAGCGGTTAGGATAGCCGCATCGTTTCCCAAACCATTGCACATATGCCAGGACTTACTTGGTTGCAACAACGTAGTCTATCGGAATCAGATGTCATTTTCTTTCGTGACTGGGGTCCAAATATAAATAATCAAGAGCCCAAGCCTAACAAAGTTGGTAAATGATTTTAATGATACAACTTTTTAAAGGTTAACTTCCTCTTTTAAGTGATTAATGTTGCTCTTCATGAATCAGTCCCTTCAACGATTTACAGTTATTAAAAGTTACTTGGAAAATATATCAAAAGTTTTTTCATAGGGCTCTTCTCTTCTTTATTTTGAGGGCCCACAATCAATGAATTGATCACTCTGACTCCTATGTTTCAGAGGGTTTCGCGATGTTACTGTGCATGGTTTTCAAGGGGATGCTTCACTGGTTGCAAGGGCTACTCAGCAGTGGTGTTATTGTTATGAACTGGGGTTTGGAAGACAGGAGGCAATAGACACAAATGTGTCGAGTGTAGCCGCCTCAGCTGTTGCTTTTGGAAGCTTGTTCCAGTCCCTTATTGTCTTTGGCAGGAATAAGGAGCTCCTGTACTGAGTTCTTGTTTTTATTAGCCAGAACTGCTGGCCTCGTCGCTGTCTGGGGGAAAGATGGACGATGGACTGCCCTCCAGTAATAAAATATATGAAAATTTATAGATCAGTCTGTTATTTTAGTCATGAATCAAAGTAATTCCGAGAAAAACCGGGCATATCAACTAGTATTTAATTGTTTTTTGTTGTTTTTTTAAAATTACAGGTATTTATTTTAAGTTTTCCCATACTGACCATAAAATAATATACTATAATATAGTATGGCATGGCATATCTGAACCTTGTTCCTACTGCTGCTAATTTGTATTCCTTTGTTAGAAGAACATGTTAAAAAAGGGATTAAAAACATAACAACGCATATTTTGGAAACGAATATTTAAATTGGAACTAGCTTCATTATTTATACAGCGAGGTGTTCGACAACTGCAATGACTAAATTACTAAGTTTTATGTCCTGACATTGAGTTGCGCAATATTATTATTTGTTTAAATTATTAAATACGATCGATACTATTTCCGTTCGCAATTTACTTTGGCCTGTATGTATTATTTCGATACCTTAAATAAACTACTAGCGAATATACTGATATCAGCAGAACAGTTAATACTTAACATTAATAACGACTTACAACCATTTGCATTAATATCTTAATAAACATATCCTAATTTTTTATATATTTAGAATCTGTTAATTAAATGGATAAGTTAGAAAAATTAAGCATTTAGAATTACAAATAAATGAAAAAGATATAATATAATCGAATAAGATTTTGTATGTCCACAATTGGTTGCTGTCACTGTGACGTCATCAGATTTCTAAATTTATCAACTGTAGTTCGCACTATCGCTAAGACTTCATATAAAGAACAAATCCTTATATTATTTCAAGATTTACGCAATCTTTTGGATATATTGTCATATATTAAACAATATCACAGTACGAAAGCAGGTTGAATGTCGCATCCAACAAAAGGTAACGAGTTTCGAAATTTGCTGATATAACTTATAATATAACACAGTAACAGTGTTGTAAGTGACTACAGTCCTACAGTAGTGTAGTATAATTGACTGCTGTCTGATCTTGGGATAATAATAAGGGAAGCAAGTTTTATCATCAGAAATGAACATCTTTAAGAATTTATCATCTTTCTTTTTTTTAAAAATGTGGACTTGTTAGTAATGTTACAACCATCAGGAACCTTATGCCTTATATAAGTTATATTATATAGCCAACCATTGAAGTACCTGGCATATGCAGACAATATAGCGCTACTGGGTAGAAACAGTAATGACATAATTAAAGTTAAAGCATTCAGGGAAATTGAAAATGCCTCAGTTAAAGCTGCTCTAGATGTAAATGAACTGAAGACAAAATATATGATAATGTCGTGAAACTCCCATGCTGATAACAACACTAATATAAACAACCACAAATTTGAGAGAATGGCTACATTCAAATATTTAGGGGCAACTATAAACAAGCACAATCAAATAATGTCCTAGGTGAAGAAAAGGGTAACAGCAAGCAACCGTTCCTATTTCAGCCTACAAAAGCTACTGGGAAGCAAAAACCTCTCAAGGGAACAAAGAAGACACTATACACCACTATCATGAGACCAGTAGTAACTTATTCTAGTGAGACTTGGACCCTTACCAGAAAAGCAGAGAACCTCCTCAATACATGGGAGAGGAAAATCCCTAGAATAATAATATATGCGGCCCAGTGATAGAAAATGATCTGGAGGATCTATACAAACCAAGAGCTATACCAATTGTACAAAGACCCACCCATAGTTGGAACAATAAAAAAAGGCAGACTGGTCTGGGCAGAACATATTGAAAAGAGCAGCAAAAGTGATATACAAACAGAAACCTAGGGGCAGACGACTCACTGGTCGACCAAGGCTGAGATGGATCGACGATGTAGAGAAGGATTTACACCATTTGGGGGTTCGTGCATGGAGCCGAAAGCCACGGATCGTTTCGAATACAAGGATGTGGTATAGCAGGCCAGGGCCCTACATGGGCTGTAGCGCCACTTATGATGATTACGATGTTATTAATGTTATTTGCTCTTTTTATTTTATTTTTTCGCTCCCCCGGTGTTAAAACTTGGCTATGCTACTGGCTGTGTGTCGTTATAGATTTAGTAACAAAAGATTTTTAAAGAGCCACATCTATTCATTCAAAAAGCCATGGGTTGGTGACCACTGGTCTAAATAAAGTTTATGAGGATGCCACATTTCCTTATCATTCCCGATAGTTTTCTAATAAATTACAGTAGAACCTGGTTATATTGACGGCCTCAGGGTTTGCCAAAAAGTGTAGAGATAACGGATGATCAAGATAAACGAAAACGAATATGGCGGCAATATATTAATATGTGCTTGAAATTTCTTTATGTACGTGATGTGCCTTATTAATGTAGGTACTTAAGTTTTTTAAAAAATAAAAATATTACAGTTATTTCAAGCAAATTTCAAATTTTAAAAAATGAAACCAGAATCAACTTTTTAACTTAAGAACCTTTTGAGCTACAAATTTTTAAAGTGCGAGTTCGTTTGGTATTTTCTACTATGGACAAAGCCTCCACATTTTGTAACCTCATTCTGCTGATCGTGTCTTGCGCAATGACTATATAGTTTATATAAGGCAACGCATCACCTTATTTCTAAAATACTATTTAGTATTTAGGGACTACTTATTTTGAACTTTCAACTTGGCACTTGACTATTCAATTAAAGCACTAGCCATATGCAAGTGACCATGAATGGGTGCGACATCGTTTTGCACACAGCAAATTATGATCATCTATAATATGGACTCTACCGGGTTTTACACCTCGATTTAAAACATATTTATTTAAGTTACTTTCATGTTCATTCTAAAACACAAGTCCTGTATTTTGAGAAATAAATAATTATTTTTAATTATAAAAAACTTGTTTATTTGTTGTTTGCTATTTCTTCTTGCGGAGTTCAAAAGCCGGCAATTGGTCATGGGGTTTGAGATAACTGAGGCTGTGTGGCAAATTTGGCCGCCTTTTTTGCTCGAGATATCAGGTTCAGCGACATAAAAGAATCGACATAACTGAGTAGAAAATGCTAAGACAAAGAGAGAATTTGGTGGTTCCACTTCAAAAACGTCAACATAACAGAGTTCGACTTTATCACTTTTTTCTACAAATATTTAATGATTAAAAAATTTACGAGCCTACATAATCCAAGTGCTTTTCCTTTTGAAGGTATTTTCTGTAGCACACCGAGTATCATCACACACAAAATAAATCATTAGTGAAATGTTTTATTGAGGAAATTAATTTTTTATAATTTTTAAATATGTCACATTCTATTTTTGAAAGTATTGTGTACTTGTGGGGGTATATATATGCATATATTATGATATAAGCTGCATGTTTAAAAGTTTAAGTAAATTCAGCCTTGAATCAATGTTATGATTCCAATCAACTTTGTCACTCATGCATGTACTTAGATCTTGTAGGTAAGTTGATACTTTTATTATATCTGTTGTTGGCTTGTCAAATTTATTTACAAATTTAATCAATGTAAAAAAAAAGCCTATGTATAAATATATGATTTTACTCTACAGATCAGGCCTATGGTACACCAGTTCAAGGTGGCTACTTTCAGAATCAGCAGCAAGGACCACCACAGATGGCTCAGTATCCTCCACCTACTTACTCGTATGCACCTCCTCCATACTCGAGTCAACCTTATCCTGGAGCTCATTTTCAACAAGCTCAGCAGTACACTTACACAACAGGTCATTTATTATAGATTAACACACAATTTATAACATTTACTTTGTTATCTTTTTGATAAATATAAATTAAGAAGAAAATGTTCCATAAGTTTAATAATCAATCTGAGATAGAAGTGTAACATTTGCTCTGTTTACTTTTGTTAATCATAATTATTATATCTTAATAATATTCTTTTATTTGATTTGAAATATTGAAACGATAGGCAACATAAAACATTAATATTTAAATAATCTAAGTAATAAATTTTTAAAGTTTAATCTAAATTTGAAGAAAACAAAAGATTTCTTTGAGCTGTGAGCTGTTTATAGCATCTTTGGGATTGGAAACTTAAACTGTCTGTAACTCCCTGTTAAATTACAGGTGTACCCCAACCATCCCAGCCCTATCCTGGTGCTCATGGTATGATGGCACAAGGACCACCACCACCTTATACTGCTTACCAGCATGCAGTGAGTATACATCATCTTAGACTCCATGTGTGGAATTACATTTCAATTCTAGTTTGTTTAATCTGACTTTTAAGATTTTAAAGATTTAAATCCATTCACTTTTAAAGCAGTGTAATTCGATGATTTTCACATCCTAAACAACTCAAAATTATATTTTTAAATTTTAAATGGAATCCCAGAAGGGAAACATATTTTAATATTTATCTTGTTTGAATACAGAAGATGTTATGATGGATGAAATAGTTGTTGAACTTTTAAAAAGAGATTCCCTTGAATAACCTTAATTACAAACTTCTTAATTTTAAAAAAGATAAGCTATTTTCTTAAATTTCTTTAAAATTAGATGTGTATTGAATTTGATCTTACTTTAAGGATTACATTTTGATAAATTCATGTCATTACAAATTTTGCTTTGGTTTGCTTATGAGTTTTATTGAATTTTCTCCTTGTTACTTCCAGTATAGTGTTGGATATCCAACTCAACATGGATATAGTATCCAGCAAACTCACAATGCTGTGGCCCAGTTTGACTCAGGAGCCAGATTTGATGGCATCGCAACTCAACACATTCCAGTAATTTTCAATTTATCTAAAGGGGTTAATGAAGTAAACTGATTTAATTTGTTTAGACTCATCTGTCTGGGGTTTTCAGACGTAGAACATAATTGAAAGAATAAGTACAGTCTTTGGTCTTTTGACTCAAACACATTATTGATTCAAACTCGCCTCAGTCCCACTTAAGCTCTTCACTCAGCCAATATGGCATTGTATTTCTATCCATGTAGGAAGATCCCCTCAGGTTTCTACCTACAGACTTAGGTCTCAACTGTCCTTGACCCTGAGAAAAAAAATGTGTGTACATTTTAATCCCATTTCTTAAATATTTTAAGCATTCATTATTGATGATTTGAAAAATATTTTTAGCATATTGAAGATAATTTGAAATAATTTTGTATATATTTTTGAAAGGTTAGAGGACAGTGTAAACATAGTAAATTATCATAGAAAAGTATCTTCCGTAATTAAAATATTGAGGAAAAAATCACTTATAACAATCATCTCATCAAGATAAAAATTAAAACTAATGGCATTTCCGTAGAAGACCTTACATTTAGGTTGTTCCCATGGGTAACACTTAAGCTCAGAGAACATAAATATTATAAAAATAAGATTTTTTAAAACTTGCACAGATATACTTTTTGTCCAAAGCTACAAAGATCCTCAGTGAAGTTAGTTAAACATTTTAAAATTATTCCTTGCAGCCCCCACCACCAGGTTGCGCACCAAATGCTGCTCAGATGGCTGTTGCTCAAGGAGGCACAGTCTTGGCCACTCAGAAAAAGGCAGGTTGGTTCACTGGAGGAAGTGGAGGTGGCGTGTCCTTTTGGTAACATTTAGGGAATCTTAATCTTTTGAAACAAAGATTGCATAACAACTGCAGTATAAAAGAATAAAATAGATACCAAGGATTAAGATGCTGACGGGATAGTACAAAGATTTTATGTAATCAGAAACTCAGGGTGAACTTTTACAAATTTTGTTCAGGTCATTCTTGTAATAATTAATTTTGACAAAATTCTTAAATAACTCTTGATCAGCTTATTTCTATAAATTGTAATTACTATATAATTTTTTTAGTGCTTGCTTATAAATTGGTTGTAAGCTTAGTAGCCTTATTTATTAGATTTTTTAAAGGTTCAACATTGAAAAGCTTTTAGCATCAGTACTCTCACAGTTTGCTTTCACATGAGTGTCTTTAATTAAAGTATTTACAGATTCTACTAGAGAGCTAGATTTTAGAATGGAAAAAATAAGAAATGTTTTGTACCGTTTCCCTTAGAAATTTTTTTTTACCATTGTTCTATTTTCAAGTGACATTTTAATTTCTGTGTCCAAAGTAAATAAATAATAATAGCATTGTATTTTAAACTTTTTTTTTAATGGCTTTAAAATATGACTGGCGTGAAAGGAAATTGTTTTGAAAAAATTCAATTACTCAGTTGTGAAAATAAAGAGATTTCTCTATTGAAAAAAACTATTTGATCCAATTTTATCAGTCTTATTTGGGCCTTTTCAGTGAAGCTGGATCTCAAATCACTCATTTAAGAGAAAAATTGATTTTATATAAGTAATTGTTGTTTGTTGAAATGATCTGTGATTTTAAGTACAGTGTACTTTTCTTCATCTTAATATTTTGAATATACAGTATTTAAACATTTTTAAATTTTAATAGATTTCAAAACACAAAAATATTGTTTTGAAAAAGAATTAAAACACACACTTATATGAATGCTGGATGGCTAATATAAAAAGTTTTAATTTTTTTTAAACACTAGATTGCAGCTCATTGCATGCAATACCACTACATTTCTTTTCAGTAAATGTTTAAAATGCTTTTTAAAAACTATTTCAATTGATTGATTTGTTTTTTTAAATAACAGAGTTCCTTCCTCATCTGTAAAATATTTTATGAGATACATTGTGCCATGAAATAACAATGGGACCAGGTATTTTAGTTATAATTTTTGTACTTGATATTTTTTAAAATCATTTACATTTTTTAAAAGAAGCAAAATAATGCTACCTATTACAAATTCTTTTTTTTTTGCTTTCAGTTTATATTTATCTGAGTCACTTGATAATTAAACATAATGCAGCTAAATTCAGGGTTTCATGCAAATAAAATTATGTAAGAATTACATGTGGAGCATAATTTCCTGTAATACTTTCTTTTTGTGCCTTGACTTAAGGATCTAAAAAAAATAATTAATTTTTAGTGAAATTCTGTTAAATATACAGTTAAATATGCAGCACTGGGGAAACGGCAGAGATTTTAAATTGAACTGTCTTTTAAGCTTATAGTAATTTCTGAAGAATGAAGACATATTTTTATAAGAAGAAATTTGATATTGATTAAAAAAATAAGTGCAAAGATATGACTTTAGAACCTCAAAATTTCCAATTATTTCTTTTCACTTTTTATTTATAACAATTAAGTTAATTAACTAATCTGTCATATGCAAATTTAAAAGGCAGCCAAATTAATTTTTCATTTTAAAGTTTTATTGTCTTATCTTGAAGTCTAAGTGCAATTTAAAACAAAAAATACAAAATGGTCCACTATTAAATGTATTTGTAAATATAATTCTAACAAATTATTGCATACATTTTATTCTGTGACATACAGACAAGATAAGATTATCAATTTTATACCCTGGTACGCATCTAAAATTTTACAATTATTGTAAATATGTTTTGGTTGTACTTGTATAATAATAATCCTTGTACACTAATTTAATTATATTCCTTTACATTATTTGTCAATATAATTTCCATATAAAAACTATTTTGTGCATTTGATGTGATATTAAAATTTGTTTATAAAACAATACCATTTATCTGGTTGTTTTATTATTAAAAAGTTAGTTGTTTTTTTAATGGGAGACCTTGAAAATAAATTAAAGCACCTGCACACACAAAATTAAATATTGGTCTGTTTTCCTTTATTGTAGATCCAAAATTAATAATTATAAAACATCATATATTTATAACAGGAATATTTAATTGCTAGCTGCCTGTTACTTCACTTCATTCTTACATAAGAACAAGGTTTTTCAAAAACATAATAGCAGTCACATGATCAAAATAGATATTTAACATTCCAGGAGCTTGCACTTGTAAACTCCACTAGTCAAATATATGATTAAAATACAAGCAAGCAATCTTTTCTATAAATATTCAAAGAGAAACACTTTCTTAGTACTAAAATATTAAAGTTTTTGACAAAATCCTGAAAGCGTAATTAAAAAATTATAGCACACCTGAGAACAGATGTACAGCAATTGTTAATACTTAATTGGGTGAAAAATTATAAGGGCCCTAGCCAAATTATGATAAAAAATTTTCCCCAAATTTTTTGAAAATGATGAGCTTAGTGTATACTGGTAGTTATGTGCCAATAAAATGTAGACAAACATTTTGAAATAATGGTAATGGAAAAACTAATTTAGTAACGTCCAGTTACTTTGTCATGTTAAAATAAGTTGTTGACATTATATAGTTTTTTTTCATGAAGGAAATAAACATTTAACAATAAGTAATAAGATGCAATTGTTTTTTTTTCATTCAGAGAGGCATCAATTAAAATGTATGCTTATTTTGCTTTCTTGCTGTACTTTAGTAGCTAAAACAAGTTCATTTCTAATTGAATTTCTACATGGTAAATCCATTAGAAAATCTTTGGAGGCCTTATTAATTTGATAGCTTTTTAAGTTGCATATAAACTATCAGTCTGAAAACACTTCTTAAATTTCAATTGAAAAAAAAATCTTGCATTTTAATTTTAGAAATTGAAACACTGGCACTTAATCATAAGGAACTGAGACAAAGTTACCAGGATATCTTTAAGTTTTTTTACTTCTTACAAAAATTCTCCACCAAAATTTCTGTTGTTTCCCTAAAATAAATTAAGATCAAGACACTGGCAGTTTCTTCACCCTTAATTAACTAATTCGATCTCTCTGTGAAGTGTACATCACAAAAATATGATTTACACAAGCCATTTTTAAAATACTGATACTTAGAATGTTATGATGTAATACTGATACTTAGAATGTTATGATGTAGTATGTCCTCAAACTGAAAACTTGTGAAACAAATAATAACACTTGTTTCCAGTTGATCTGGAATGGATAAGAAATGTAGGTACATTTGTGAACAATACCTCCAAACATGTTGGTTTTAATGCATTTTTTTTTTGTTACATGTTATTCATGTTTCAATTTTATTAAAGGTAATGTGCCAGTAATGTGTGAAGTGGTAGCTAGTTACATGGAATAGGATATGATTATAAAAGTAATAAATTCTGTACAAATCTAGGCTACAGAGTATGAATACAACTTGAAGACTCTGGACTTAAGCTTACAAAATATAATTTTTTATATAGAAAGTTTTGATCAGAGCTGGGCAGTCTCCAATGTATTAAATCATAAACCGCTGATTTAAAAAAAAAATGCTTCATTTAATTTTTAAATCCTTTCATCAACATCATTTTTGTTTGTGTGTTTCTTTCTCGCAAAATCTTTGGACAGCTAACTGAACAACTTCCCGTCATCCTATCAAGGTGAAACTTGGCACATAGACTCGTTGCAGATGAAAACACATTCCATCAAATTTTCAGCCCAACCCCCAAAAATCAGTTTTAACGCTACCAGATACACTTGATTTCACAAAATAAAATGCTAGATAACTGCACTAATTGAGATTCTTAAAATATCACAAGTGCACTCCGTGTGTATATTTTCTTTTGTTTTAGAGAAATAGTTGGTGTAATAAATCTGCGGTGTAAAAGCGGGTGTGACATTAGAATATTATATAGTTCAGGGGCATAAAAAAATATGTGGTTAGGAGCCTTGGGGGCGGCCTACTAATTGGCATTCTTACAAAGTGTGTTACTTGAATTCATGTTAATCAAATTTTCAGCCCCACCCCCTATTGCTTGATATTACATTTTATAAAGAATTTATGTGAAAAACTTTGTTTTTAGGGGTTGTTTAAATAAGCCTTAAATAATGAATTAATTTGAATTTTAAAAAAAAATCAATGAATAAAGATTTTTACTGTAAAAGGGAATATGAAATATACCTTTTGTCCTATGAACTGATGATATGTTCAAGGAAATAGTTATAAAAAATTATAAAATCCATGTGGTAGAAAAATATGTCTGCCCAAAAAGTTAATTTTCCGCTAACAACATTTTGAAAATAGTTTTTAAAAATACAAAACTTTGCTTGTTGAAGTGAAGTTAAGTAAAGGAAAAAATAAAACCTTGAAATCTGTTAGCAGTAAACTTTGATCAGGGGACAAAAACAAAGAACAGTTGATCTGTGCTGGTGTTTATCTTTGCCCATTGGCTCTTTGACTGAAAATCTTTGTATCTTTGTTGAAATCTTAGAAATTCTTGAGATAGGCAGCTATGAAACACTTTTTTTTTTAAATGGTTATCCAGGAATATTAACATTAAATCCATTACATCAAATCACTGGAAGCTCATAAAATAGAAATCAACAATGGCAAGCATGGGTTTGGCAGTAAAGAATTCTAGAATATCAAATACATAATTTAATTCATCTATGATTTTTTAATTCAAAATATTGAGAAAAATCACTGGTTTATTTCTAATGGCATATTCATCATAAACAATAAGTTTAATCTTCAATATATCAGACTTCTTCAACAGAGGTAAAAAGCAATATGAATTGTGTACAAAAAAATGTCATGATAAATTCCTTATTATTTAAAAATAAATTAAAATCATATTTAATAATATACATGTATCACTTAATTATTCATCCCATGACAACATATCCTATTTGATATTTGGAATTCTTACATTGACTACATATAGTACATCAGACAAGATTCTCTCCCCACTTAACTGATCTGTTAATTTCTCTAAAGTCATAATTCAGATGATGAAACTTATGATTTTCTTTATACAGGTATCAAATGTTATTTGCAAACATTTTAAAAAGAATAAACAATTAAGGTATAAATATTAAATCTTGTTTTCCTAATCTACTTACTACTAAGGCATAACAAAATTCCTTAGACATCAATTTTTTAATGTATACAATAACAGAGAATCTGAAATAAGAGAATAATTTAATCACATTCATATGAAATACATCACTGCTAAGTAACTAGTAAATTAGATAATCAATCTTGAATGGGGAACAATTGGATGAATTAAGTTGAAATAGATTAATGCATTTTCTTCCATTTATGTCCTCCAACTATGTCCCTTAAGATCCAGCAATTAACTGCGTTCGCAATGAGTGTTGGTTTGAAATAAAATTTGACTCTTGTATTTTCAAGTTAAGATCAATATCAATGATCAACATGGTTCTATTTTTTTAAAAAAAAAAGAAACATTTAAATGATTGTTTATAAAGTATTTCTTTCCATGCTATTTAAGTAAACAGAAATCACAGAGGTTATGAGCTTGTCTTTTTTTTAAATATATTTTTTCAACTATGTTCCACAATTATTTGTTTACATATATTTGTAAAATGTGACAATAATAAAACAAACAAGCTTGTTCTACCAGGAAAGACTTGATACATTTTCTAGGACAGGAGGAGGGTTGTGTGATGTTCTACCAACTTATCAATCAAGGGTTCCTCAATTTCTCTCCCAGCTGCCAATTCTTCATCACTAAGGCGTAGTATTTCCTCAGCATCCATGGTAACGATAAATACTTCTTTTTTTCTTGTCTCTAATATGTTTGCTATGACCATCTGCACAAAATGAAATAAAGCATAAATGTTTTTTTTTAAATTAATTATTTTGAAAATATTTAGCACAATTAAATGTTTAAACAATCTTTGATATTTGAATAAAATATAATAATGGATTTAATTTTACATCTTTTACTCCAGGCAAAGAACATTTGATTGTTTAGGGCTGCTGAAACTTATGTATAGACATCTCAAAAGTATAGATTACCTGGTGTTGATAGACTAGCAAAGCATTCCTTGATTTTTCTATTAATAATGATTGATCTGTTTCCAGCTGTGAAGAAATATTTAAAAATGTGTAAGGAATTTGATAAAAAATTAATTACTTAATATTTGCATTCCATTTATATTACAGACCACACTTGTTTAAATGTCATGCTCTGTTCTCATTTAGTGTCAAAGCCTCCATTAGCCAACATATTTTAGTTATTTGTGATAATACTATGGATTTGGTGTCAGTTTCCAGATATAATGTAACTGCAGCCAATATTTAAAAAGAAATCTTGGTGTTAATTAAAGTTTATAGAATTAATCAGCAAAAAAAAAAAAAGTATTTATCTTAAATAGTATTACCATATGTAAATATTTCAAGTCGAAAGAATTCTAACAAAAAAATAAATAAAAAGTGAAAAGTTCATTTGTTGCTTATTTTAACCTATTATTAATATATTATGCTATAACTAACAAATAAGTTTTAGGCAAAAGAGTTGTTCATTAGATGCGCACACACACACAAAATTATTATTACCTTGAATGATATAACAAAAGCATTAGGCGACCACTCTTTTACTAAGGGTTTTAGCATTTTTGGAGTCATCTCTAAAGTCAACTTTAATGCTCCTTCTGATGATTGAATCTTGTGCTCAGGCTGTAATTGAAAAATGACACAAAACTCAACTGCAAGTCTTCCATTTGACTACTGTCCATTACACAAGCTCATAAACTGTGGCCAGACGTCACCTAATACAATTGAGGTTCATAAAAGTGTATCGAAAAATTATTTTAACAACCAAAATTATTATTAATAGAATTAGAATAGTTTCATTACCATTAACCCTCTTGGAACATAAAAATCAGCCACAGCCGCTGCAAGGTATACCATCCCCTCTCTTCCACAGGCCTGCATGGCTTCACTGGCTGCCCGCAACAGAATGAGATATTCAGTAAGGGTTGTGAACTCTACCATAGAGAGCATGCCTTCATTTTTGTATTTGTGGTAATCTTTGACAACAGGGGCCAAACTCTTGGCTAAACTTGGACTTACTAGGAAATATAAGAAAAAATTTTATTTACGAAACTTAAAAATAAGTAAAAATCAGTTTTATATCAAAAATAAATATGAAGTAAATATTTTTTTAAAATTTTGTTACCTGTGATACAAGTCAGGAAACATATAAAGCTGTCTAAGAGTTGTCCAGTATTGTATAATATTATCACATATATATATGTATATATATATATTAAAATAAAATGTCATAGAAGAAATGGTTTTGACAAATTAAATTTTTTAAAATTGTGGTCTGAGAAATAGTTCGGAAAGTAAAACTTATCTTGAAATTTTTTAGGAAATTTATTGAAAATGAGAAATCTAAGTAGAAACACAAGACTCACATTGAATATATGTCTATTTCAAAATAAATTTAATGAAATTTTGGGAAATTTAATCCTAATGGATGACATTATAAGTATCATTTAAAAAAAAATCAAAAAGGATTAACTATATATCAATGCCAACAAATGAAATAGAACTTTTTTAAAAATGTTTAATAAAAAACATTAGCATTAACAACTGGTTTATAAATAGAAGAACTAAGAAATCTCACCAGTTATAACAGTTGGGTCATTTTCAGAGACTGACAAAATATCCAAAATGTTTTTCTCAACCCTCTGAAAAAATGGTTGAAGAGATCTATGACGATGGAGAAACAAAACTGCATAGCCCTGTTTTAGAAAATATCTGTCACACCAGTTAGGGAAAAAGAGGTACCTCTGTTAATTTTTTTTTAAATTTTACATAAGTTGTTGATTATCAGGTCCTGGACTTTTGTGATGCATAGAAGACATAAAGGATACTCTGCTGAGGTTGCACCTCTTGTACCAATGCTGAAGTTGTCAATAAAGCGAACAGTTCTACTCTCAAGTGGTACTGTAGTTCCACCTGACTTGCAAAAGTCATATAAAAAGTTTTTTAAGATAATAATAGTGATATTTAAAAATAAGAAGCTTAATAAGCAGTGTGGTTTTTATTAGGACACATTTAGATGGCATTGTTTTTGGCCAATTTATTTGCTTCTAGTGTTGACCAGATAATTGTTAATTGATCCAATTCAGCCATTTTGCCAATTTGTTGTAATCTTCTTTTTTGAAAGATTAATCAGCTACTAAAATGCTTATTAGTTGTATAACTACATAATGATAATAAAATATTGTTCATCAAATTGTTACCAAATCGCATATGTCAAAGTCTAAGCGCACTATGATTCATCCCACCCCCACCCAAAATTCACTGTCTATATTTGTATGCCAATTCTGTAACTTCATCAGTGTTTACACTATCAGGGCAGATTTTATTTTCCTGAGCTGTCAAGACTTCAAAAATGGAACAAACTCCTCTGGTGGTTTTGGTTGGTTAAACCTACACTAGCACAATACACTGTTTTCTTTTTTACCACAAGGTTAGATTTTTAACAATATTAGCTGGATACATTATTTGGGCTATAGTGACTAAAACTAAAATAGATTATATTATTTTTATTTTTTTGTAATGGGGATGCTGGTGAGCCCAGATATTACATAAAATAAGAAATGCTTGTATTATGGCTACTTTCCCATGTCCCGTGTATGTAATTAAAATATTAGAAATGTATGTACCAGTAACATAGCCAGTAGGGGAGTGGAGCAACGACAGCTTCCGCTAGTTATAATAACTAATTTAGATTTTTTTTAAAATATTATCTTGTACAATGGGGCAGATTTCCTGGGCACACAACTTTTTCATTGAGTGATAGATCTGAGTTTCCCAATCAGAGGGATGACATTTCTAGGGGTGCGAGGAAACCTGATTTTAAGAACAGAGAAGCCATTAACTTTTAAGTTATGATATATATATATATTTAATTACTTTTTAAATTTCTTCATTTACATTTAAGTTTGTTTAATAAGTCACGGGTTTATTTTATAAGATTTACAGATCTCTTTTAATTTTAATAAGAAAATTAAAAGTCCATTTTGTTTCCAATTTTAAAATGCATAGTTACCTTTTTTTAGAGAGTGAGAGATTAGTCAAATGATCTGTATGGGGTGCATACTACAGAAAAGTTTTAGAAACCGTGCTCAAAGGCATATTTCTAGCCATGTAACGGGCTGATTCAAAGTAACTTTGCAGAGGCGGGCACAATTGACATCAAGGTTAAAATGTTTGGGTGAAGAGTAGCGCTCGCTTCTTTTTCCTGATGCAGTTATTGCATAATGATGTTTAACCTTTACTCCCAGTCCCAGTAGCCCAAATACGAGCTCTATCAAATAGTATAATGTATTACCTAAAATTTATAACAATTTCATTATTTAAAGCTAAAACATAATAATTAATCAGCTGCTGATTATCACAGGCAAATAGCAAATCAGTGAAACCCAAGTGGCTTCCAAAAGTAACCAAAAATCTAAGTTTCCCAGAAAAGTAATAATGCTAACCAAATATAAGTAATTCGGCCAGTAATTATGTAGTGGGCCAAAAGTGCTGCATGTCAATATAAGGTAAAAATGTACTGCCTGAGGCTGACTGCACCTGCAGACCCACTTCCTACATGCTCACAAATTATGCTACTATGTCTGGTCAACTTTACAGTTCTCCCCAGAGTTTCTGTGGATGAGGGAACTCCCCTTAGTCGTGAATTGTTGATAGAGAAAACTGTTCACTTTTTTTTATTAATATGCTGATGAAATTTTTTGATTGATGACTTTTTAAAAAACTAATATTTCATAGCGTGGTTAATTATAATATTTCAAAATGAGGCTATTTTCTGGTGCCATGTAAAAATGGATTTGGACTTTTCTGACATCTTGTGAATTTTATTTTTGGTGAAACCTGTAATAAACTTTAGTTTATAAAAGTTAATCAATTAAACTGTAAGTTGAGTTTTCATTATTTTGGATACCGGTATTTCAAAAATATATTTTATCATTTTTCTTTATTTTTATGCTTTTTTCACCACAGTGTGTGGCTGTTGCACACACTTTTAAATGATACTTGATGGAAGAAAGCGACAGCTGATCATTAAGACTTCTTGCCACATATCTGGAGGGATACAATAAAGGTTGTCACGTTCGCCACGAAATTAATGTAGCGGCTAAAATTGTATGTCTGTATAAGGATTTCACGTTGATAGCAGAAATAAAAAGGGCAGGCTACACTGGGCGGGACACTTAGAAAGAATGCCAAATAACAGAGGAGTAAAGAGGGTGAACCACCAAAACCCCAGATGAAAACGGCTCAAAGGCAGACCTAGGCTTAGATATTAGATGGATGGAGGATGTGGAAAAAGATCTAAAGCAGCTGGGAATCCAAGCAATGAGCATGGAAATGAAAAGCATGGAAATGAAAAGCATCAGTTATGTCTAAGTGGAAGGATGTGGTGGTGAGGCAGGCCAAAGCCATACATGGGCTGTAGTTCCACAGGGATGGATAGATGAAATTACTTATGAAAGGTGATCGCACATCATTGACGCTTCTAGCCGCATATCTAGAGGAATACAATACAAAAAAGTTTCTACATTCACCATAGAAAAAATGAAGCTCTAATTCTAATTTTGTTGTCTGAAGTACTGTTACACAATATCCCTTTTCCTTCCCCATTTTTTTCCACTGTGTACTACATGCTGCCATGACAACAAAGATGGCGCCCATGTCAAAAAACAACAAAAAAAAGGACCCAACACGCAGAGAAAAAGGGGGTAGGGTGGGGTGGATAGCATACATTTTTCCTATTTTAGTTAGAGTTAGAGTTAGGTCCTACACTCACTGTAATTAAAACAACTCGATTCTTTAGCAGTGAATGCCTTTTAGTGAATTCTTCCATTTGTATTTTTTTTATATTAAATGATTCTGGTGGAACTAGATCTTGAAAAAATTGAGATTCACTCTCACTTAAGTTGATAGGGGTTGCCATTTCTGATAAGTTCACTTTTCGTAAAATATTCCTGACGCTGCTCCTTCTAATTCTAATCAAACTCTAATAGGCAAACATAACAAGGGGCCAGTACTCGAAAAGAGAATCATGTTGCTATTTTGTTTTGCTTTGGATACAAAAGAGTACTACAATTGAGGCACTTAATTAAAAGGCTATCTACTCACCTGTAATCGCTAAACCATGTTTTATATCTTTACTTTTTTTTTTTTTTGCTTAGAGGCTGGTGTAGACCTAGTAATGTAGGCTTATTGTTTAAAGGACGGCGGGTAGGGGTTAGGATTGTCTGTAGGCTTTCTGTTTAAGGCCAGCAGGTAGGTTATTTAATAGCTAAACCATGTTTTATATCTTTAATTTTTTTTTTTTTTGCTTAGAGGCTGGTGTAGACCTAGTAATGTAGGCTTATTGTTTAAAGGACAGCGTGTAGGGGTTAGGATTGTCTGTAGGCTTTCTGTTTAAGGCCAGCAGGTAGGTTATATGACTGTCATTGGCATTAGGTCTATTGACTATTGTTTAAAGACCGGCATAAATTATAGAAAATTAGAAGTTAACTCTTTTTTTGTAACACTTGGGCCCACCAGGTATTTTCTCAAGATACCCGGACCTAGTGTAAAATTACTGAACCCATTCAAGCCATAATATTCTTTACTTTAATAATCTATATGATTCATATATTCCACTGTCCCCCCTTCCCTCTAACTCTATCATTCATACTCATACCCTTACTCCTCGATCACCACCAGTCCCCAACTGCCTCTCCCACCTGCACCACCACTCTCCCTCCACATAATCTCTTCATTGCCCGAAAAAGCCACACAACAACTTTACCCCACACCCCCCACCTTAAAAAAAATGATTATAAGTCAGAGACATCCAAATTTTGAACAATGTTAACAAGCACCATTGGCATCTAGAAGCAAAAAAAAAAAAAAAAAAAAAAAAAAAAAAAAAAAAAAAAAAAAAAAAAACAAAAAAAAGACAAGATTAAAAAGCGTTTAAATCTGAGAGTTTTTTTTAAAAACAAGAGTCTCCTTTTAAGGATTTTTTTCTGTGACATTCACGTGTAGGCGTAGGCCTACATATAATAATTATATGCTTTAGTTATATTTAATAACAACAAAAGCTCCGCTCCACATCCATTTAGTTCATATTCATATTCCTTTGTTGTAGCAAAGGTCCTGAAACTTTCTGTCACCGGGTGCAAGTAAGGACGCGTCAATCTTTCATGTTACGAGCGAAAATGTAACCTTTATTTTACCGTATATTTGTTTTCGGACCATGTCATAGTCATGTGGTTGTTTTTATACCAAAAAGTCTATTATAGTCAAAATCCTCTTCACGTTGTGACGTCGGTAGCCATTAGCTCCACCCAGTTGCGTAGCGTATAGTTAGAGTGTTGGTGCCGCCCGGGACGGGGCAAGATGTTAGCTCTCATCCCCTCACAAAAAAAAACTATGCAGTTGGCCGAGTTGGTCAAAAATGGCTCCGACAGGTGTGGACCGCTCCCTCCCAACCCACCCTTCCTACGCCAGTCCCAGTCTAATCAATCTAAAGTACATTCATTTTAAGGTACGCTGGTCTATTTAATATGAACAGTCTTTATTAGAATGTTAATAAATATCAAAATATTTGTTTGATATGAAGAAGTTTAATTATTTTTTTTTAAATCTTAAGCGTGCACTGTTGACGTCTGGTCATCCATTAATGACGTCACGCAGCAAGAGTGAGCAAAAAATGTGTGTGGGGGGGGATCCGGTGTGTTAAATGGGGTGACTAAATTTTGTAGCAAATTTGTGAAAATTCGACGTGGGGAG